AAAGTCAGAATTACGAGAAATAAAGTCAGAATTGTGAGAAATAAAGTCAGAATTAGAGAAATAAAGTCAGAATTACGAGAAATAAAGTCAGAATTACGAGAAATAAAGTCAGAATTGTGAGAAATAAAGTCAGAATTACGAGAAATAAAGTCAGAATTACGAGAAATAAAGTCAGAATTGTGAGAAAAAAATCAGTAATGCGATAAATGCAGAATTGCGAGATCATGGCTATTACCTTTTTGAGAAAAATAAAGTCAGAATTGCGAGAAATAAAGTCAGAATTACGAGAAATAAAGTCAGAATTACGAGAAATAAAGTCAGAATTACGAGAAATAAAGTCAGAATTGCGAGAAATAAAGTCAGAATTGTGAGAAATAAAGTCAGAATTGTGAGAAATAAAGTCAGAATTACGAGAAATAAAGTCAGAATTACGAGAAATAAAGTCAGAATTGTGAGAAATAAAGTCAGAATTGTGAGAAATAAAGTCAGATTTACGAGAAATAAAGTCAGAATTACGAGAAATAAAGTCAGAATTGTGAGAAATAAAGTCAGAATTGTGAGAAATAAAGTCAGAATTGCGAGAAATAAAGTCAGAATTACGAGAAATAAAGTCAGAATTGTGAGAAAAAATCAGTAATGCGATAAATGCAGAATTGCGAGATCGTGGCTATTACCTTTTTGAGAAAAATAAAGTCAGAATTACGAGAAATAAAGTCAGAATTACGAGAAATAAAGTCAGAATTACGAGAAATAAAGTCAGAATTGCGAGAAATAAAGTCAGAATTGCGAGAAATAAAGTCAGAATTACGAGAAATAAAGTCAGAATTACGAGAAATAAAGTCAGAATTGTGAGAAATAAAGTCAGAATTGTGAGAAATAAAGTCAGAATTGTGAGAAATAAAGTCAGAATTGTGAGAAATAAAGTCAGAATTGCGAGAAATAAAGTCAGAATTGCGAGAAATAAAGTCAGAATTACGAGAAATAAAGTCAGAATTGCGAGAAATAAAGTCAGAATTACGAGAAATAAAGTCAGAATTGTGAGAAATAAAGTCAGAATTACGAGAAATAAAGTCAGAATTACGAGAAATAAAGTCAGAATTGTGAGAAATAAAGTCAGAATTACGAGAAATAAAGTCAGAATTGTGAGAAATAAAGTCAGAATTGCGAGAAATAAAGTCAGAATTGCGAGAAATAAAGTCAGAATTACGAGAAATAAAGTCAGAATTACGAGAAATAAAGTCAGAATTGTGAGAAATAAAGTCAGAATTGCGAGAAATAAAGTCAGAATTGCGAGAAATAAAGTCAGAATTGTGAGAAATATAGTCAGAATTGTGAGAAATAAAGTCAGAATTGCGAGAAATAAAGTCAGAATTGCGAGAAATAAAGTCAGAATTGTGAGAAATAAAGTCAGAATTGTGAGAAATAAAGTCAGAATTGTGAGAAATAAAGTCAGAATTGTGAGAAATAAAGTCAGAATTGTGAGAAATAAAGTCAGAATTGTGAGAAATAAAGTCAGAATTACGAGAAATAAAGTCAGAATTGTGAGAAAAAAATCAGTAATGCGATAAATGCAGAATTGCGAGATCGTGGCTATTAGCTTTTTGAGAAAAAGTCAGAATTGCGAGAAATAAAGTCAGAATTACGAGAAATAAAGTCAGAATTACGAGAAATAAAGTCAGAATTGCGAGAAATAAAGTCAGAATTGCGAGAAATAAAGTCAGAATTGCGAGAAATAAAGTCAGAATTGTGAGAAATATAGTCAGAATTGTGAGAAATAAAGTCAGAATTGCGAGAAATAAAGTCAGAATTGCGAGAAATAAAGTCAGAATTGTGAGAAATAAAGTCAGAATTGCGAGAAATAAAGTCAGAATTGCGAGAAATAAAGTCAGAATTACGAGAAATAAAGTCAGAATTACGAGAAATAAAGTCAGAATTGTGAGAAATAAAGTCAGAATTGCGAGAAATAAAGTCAGAATTGCGAGAAATAAAGTCAGAATTGTGAGAAATATAGTCAGAATTGTGAGAAATAAAGTCAGAATTGCGAGAAATAAAGTCAGAATTGCGAGAAATAAAGTCAGAATTGTGAGAAATAAAGTCAGAATTGTGAGAAATAAAGTCAGAATTGTGAGAAATAAAGTCAGAATTGTGAGAAATAAAGTCAGAATTGTGAGAAATAAAGTCAGAATTGTGAGAAATAAAGTCAGAATTACGAGAAATAAAGTCAGAATTGTGAGAAAAAAATCAGTAATGCGATAAATGCAGAATTGCGAGATCGTGGCTATTACCTTTTTGAGAAAAAGTCAGAATTGCGAGAAATAAAGTCAGAATTACGAGAAATAAAGTCAGAATTACGAGAAATAAAGTCAGAATTGCGAGAAATAAAGTCAGAATTGCGAGAAATAAAGTCAGAATTACGAGAAATAAAGTCAGAATTGTGAGAAATAAAGTCAGAATTACGAGAAATAAAGTCAGAATTACGAGAAATAAAGTCAGAATTACGAGAAATAAAGTCAGAATTGTGAGAAATAAAGTCAGAATTACGAGAAATAAAGTCAGAATTACGAGAAATAAAGTCAGAATTGTGAGAAAAAAATCAGTAATGCGATAAATGCAGAATTGCGAGATCATGGCTATTACCTTTTTGAGAAAAATAAAGTCAGAATTGCGAGAAATAAAGTCAGAATTACGAGAAATAAAGTCAGAATTACGAGAAATAAAGTCTGAATTACGAGAAATAAAGTCAGAATTGCGAGAAATAAAGTCAGAATTACGAGAAATAAAGTCAGAATTGTGAGAAATAAAGTCAGAATTACGAGAAATAAAGTCAGAATTACGAGAAATAAAGTCAGAATTGTGAGAAATAAAGTCAGAATTACGAGAAATAAAGTCAGAATTGTGAGAAATAAAGTCAGAATTACGAGAAATAAAGTCAGAATTACGAGAAATAAAGTCAGAATTGTGAGAAATAAAGTCAGAATTGCGAGAAATAAAGTCAGAATTGTGAGAAATAAAGTCAGAATTGTGAGAAATAAAGTCAGAATTGTGAGAAATAAAGTCAGAATTGTGAGAAATAAAGTCAGAATTGCGAGAAATAAAGTCAGAATTGCGAGAAATAAAGTCAGAATTGTGAGAAATAAAGTCAGAATTGTGAGAAATAAAGTCAGAATTGTGAGAAATAAAGTCAGAATTACGAGAAATAAAGTCAGAATTACGAGAAATAAAGTCAGAATTGTGAGAAATAAAGTCAGAATTGTGAGAAATAAAGTCAGAATTGTGAGAAATAAAGTCAGAATTGCGAGAAATAAAGTCAGAATTACGAGAAATAAAGTCAGAATTGTGAGAAATAAAGTCAGAATTACGAGAAATAAAGTCAGAATTGTGAGAAATAAAGTCAGAATTGCGAGAAATAAAGTCAGAATTACGAGAAATAAAGTCAGAATTGTGAGAAATAAAGTCAGAATTACGAGAAATAAAGTCAGAATTACGAGAAATAAAGTCAGAATTGTGAGAAATAAAGTCAGAATTGCGAGAAATAAAGTCAGAATTGTGAGAAATAAAGTCAGAATTGTGAGAAATAAAGTCAGAATTGTGAGAAATAAAGTCAGAATTGTGAGAAATAAAGTCAGAATTGCGAGAAATAAAGTCAGAATTGCGAGAAATAAAGTCAGAATTGTGAGAAATAAAGTCAGAATTGTGAGAAATAAAGTCAGAATTGTGAGAAATAAAGTCAGAATTACGAGAAATAAAGTCAGAATTACGAGAAATAAAGTCAGAATTGTGAGAAATAAAGTCAGAATTGTGAGAAATAAAGTCAGAATTGTGAGAAATAAAGTCAGAATTGCGAGAAATAAAGTCAGAATTACGAGAAATAAAGTCAGAATTGTGAGAAATAAAGTCAGAATTACGAGAAATAAAGTCAGAATTGTGAGAAATAAAGTCAGAATTGTGAGAAATAAAGTCAGAATTGTGAGAAATAAAGTCAGAATTGTGAGAAATAAAGTCAGAATTACGAGAAATAAAGTCAGAATTACGAGAAATAAAGTCAGAATTGTGAGAAATAAAGTCAGAATTGTGAGAAATAAAGTCAGAATTGCGAGAAATAAAGTCAGAATTACGAGAAATAAAGTCAGAATTGTGAGAAAAAAATCAGTAATGCGATAAATGCAGAATTGCGAGATCGTGGCTATTACCTTTTTGAGAAAAATAAAGTCAGAATTGCGAGAAATAAAGTCAGAATTACGAGAAATAAAGTCAGAATTGCGAGAAATAAAGTCAGAATTGCGAGAAATAAAGTCAGAATTACGAGAAATAAAGTCAGAATTGTGAGAAATAAAGTCAGAATTACGAGAAATAAAGTCAGAATTACGAGAAATAAAGTCAGAATTGTGAGAAATAAAGTCAGAATTGTGAGAAATAAAGTCAGAATTACGAGAAATAAAGTCAGAATTACGAGAAATAAAGTCAGAATTACGAGAAATAAAGTCAGAATTGTGAGAAATAAAGTCAGAATTGTGAGAAATAAAGTCAGAATTGTGAGAAATAAAGTCAGAATTGCGAGAAATAAAGTCAGAATTACGAGAAATAAAGTCAGAATTGTGAGAAAAAAATCAGTAATGCGATAAATGCAGAATTGCGAGATCATGGCTATTACCTTTTTTTAATTCCGTGTCAGAAAGAAGCTTCCATAAAAACGTACTCCAATAATCTCTGCTTTATTTACAAATTGTAAACAGTATAGTACTAAATTTGCAGGTGTATATTCAAAGTCGGCGCGCTGCGATTGATCACAAGACATGCGAGGACCAATAGCGTTCGCCGATGAGGGAAGGCATTATTGAGCGCACTGTCCCTTTAAGAGACGGCGCCGGCTGAAGGGCCTCGTTCAGTAGCGGCTGCACGAGAAGGTCATGAGGTCATCCCTGTACCTTTAGAAGAGCTGAGCGGATCGTCTAAACTCACCACATATTCACTCACACACAGAGATATGAATGCTGTAATACCTTCTCCACGGCAGCGTATCGGCCGGCCAGCTGCTTCCTCAGGTCACACATGTGGTGGTCAAACTTCTTCATGTCTTTCTTGAAGTTCTCCCGAAATATCAGCAGAGGTTTCTCCACTTCACTCTGGAGCTGAAGAGGTTTCACACAGAGACCGTGTTAGAGAGAGAGAAAGACCCTCGTAACCCTCTGTGCTCGTCGCGTGGCGCTCAAAAATGACAGATTTTTTATTAAATGAAATGAATGTACTTTATTTTAGTTTGATAATGTTTTTTATTTCATATTTTTTTATAATAAATTATATTTACGCTGTATTTATAATCCATTTATTCACTTTTTGAGCTTAGACCTGAAAATGTAATGTCCAGCTTAAACTGGTAAATCTTGAACGCTTTAGAGCGACAGACTGGAGTTTGATCTCTTCTCACAGACGACACTCGGCAGATTATTGCTGAAGTGAGAAAAGGTTTAAAAAGGGAACTTAAAAAAAGTAACAGAGTTTTAAGTGTATTGTTATTAAAAATGCACAAAAATACTATTTCAATTTTTAATATGAAATCTATCACGTTTTACTCTAAAACTGCAAGTAAACCAAAGCCATAAATCTACCAAGTGTGTGTTCCGCATGTGAGTCTGATCTCTCAGTAAAGGAGCGTTCAGTGAGAGTGTGTTCGGCTGCAGTTCCACACGCTTCCACTAGAGGAAACTCTCCATTCATTTCCAATGCGTCATTCCTGACCGCGAGGAGCACAAGTGTGTGTGACTGTTGCTTCAGGACCATTTCACCTGTTCAGATCATGTCCATGATGTGTGTGTGTGTTCATACAGCAAGTGCCAAAACCTTTACCAAGTTTCGTACAATTCCGATGAAGTAAAAAAATAATAAAAAAAAAAAAAAAAAAAAATAAACTTTTTCTGTCAAAAATGGCCGTCGAGCGCCAGAGGGTTTGTTGTTTTAGTTTGTATCGTCTGTTAGTGATGCGTAACCTGTAGTGTGTGTGTGACATCTGCTCTCATAGATTCATGCGAGAGTAAAGCATTCCTTCAGTCCAGCTGTGAGACTCAGGAAAACTCTCTCTAGTGTGTGTGTGTGTGTGTATGTGTGTGAGAGAGAGTGTGTGTGTGTGTGTGTGTGTGTTCAGTTTTACCTTAGAGGAGAACTTGAGATGCACTTCGGCCTCGTCTGACAGGCTTTTCTTCAGCTGAACCCAAGCTGAGCCGAGTGTGCTGAGAATACAACATCACAGAACTGAGGTATAGATGTGTGTGTAGAGTGTAAATCAGCTGTTCTCTATGTGAATATACAGTAAAGTGTCATTTATTCCTGTGATCAAAGCTGAATTTTCAGCATCATTACTCCAGTCTTCAGTGTCACATGATCCTTCAGAAATCACTCTAATATGAGGATCTGATGCTCAAGACACATTTATGATTATTATCAATGTTGAAACTGTTATTTATAATCAAATAAACACAGCCTTGGTGAGCAGAAGAGACTCTTTTAAAAACATTAAAAACCTTACGATCCCAAACTTTACAACGGCAGCGTATACACACACACACACACACACACACACACACACACACACACACACACACACACACACACACACACACACACGCACACACACACACACACACACACACACACACACACACACACACACACACACACACACACACACACACACACACACGCACACACACACACACACACACACACACACACACGCACACACACACCTGTATAAAATGCACTTATATAATTTACTGTGATATTAAAGCTGTATTGGAAAAGTTTATTTAATCAATGTTTTGTTGGCATAACTCTTCCTGATGTTCTCTCTCAGAGCGCTGCGTATGAATGCTGGAGTTATGCTCATAATCGGAGGCTGTCGGCCTCATTCCTGGGATGTCTGGGATGTTTGTGAGCCGCTCTCCGTCGGGATTCAGAGGAGCACCTCGGATTAAAGCCGCGAGTGGAGGCGACTCTACAAGACTCTATATCAACTCTTTCTCACCGCTAATAAGAGAAGATCATCATTCTGTATCAATCCACAAAAATACCCCTGATGTCTGATACATTCCTCCAAACCTGCATCTCGCATGCTTTACTGGTATAATATAGCTATTATAAATGCATATATTTTACATTTCATTCAATATCTATCTTTATATTTAATGTGAGCCACTAGTTCAACAAACTGCAATTGTTGCCTTTCTAGTTTAAAATGTAGTTATTTATTTAAAATCTACTTAAAATTGGGCGTTTTTATATATCGGTCGGTAAGATTTGCTCACCAAAGCTGCGTTTATTTGATCAAAAATACAGTAAAAACAGTGAAATGTTATTGTAATGTAAAATAACTGTTTTCTATGTGAATATACAGTAAAGTGTAATTTATTCCTGTGATCAAAGCTGTATTTTCAGCATCATTACTCCAGTCTTCAACTCTATTATCATGCATATTACTAGGATATTGGCTGTTTATTAGTACTTATAAAGCACATATTAATGCCTTATTCTGCATGATCATATTCTACATTCTTTAATCCTACAATACATAAACTTAACAACTACATTACTAACTATTAATAAGCAGTAATTAAGAGTTTATTGAGGTAAAAATCATAGTTAATAGTGAATATGTTCCCCATACTAAAGAATTACTGATTTTACTGTCACTTCTGATCTATTTAATGTGTCCTTGATGAATAAAAGTATTATTTTGTTTATTTTTTAAATCGTACCGACCCAAAACAGTTGTATATATACAACATTATACATATATATTATATAAACAGACAGCAAAATGATAAGTAATATGTTTAAAAACGCCATTCGCTATCGTTAAACACACGCATTGATTGCACACGATCATCTCCCGGTCATGTGATGTCAGAGGTCACGTGATACCAGAGGTCATGTGATGCCAGAGGTCATGTGATGCCAGAGGTCATGTGATGCCAGAGGTCATGTGATGTCAGAGGTCATGTGATACCAGAGGTCATGTGATGCCAGAGGTCACGTGATGCCAGAGGTCACATGATGCCAGAGGTCACGTGATGTCAGAGGTCATGCGATGCCAGAGGTCACGTGATGCCAGAGGTCATGTGATGTCAGAGGTCATGTGATACCAGAGGTCATGTGATGCCAGAGGTCACGTGATGCCAGAGGTCACGTGATGCCAGAGGTCACGTGATGTCAGAGGTCACGTGATGCCAGAGGTCACGTGATGCCAGAGGTCACGTGATGTCAGAGGTCACGCGATGCCAGAGGCCACGTGATGCCAGAGGTCATGTGATGCCAGAGGTCAGGTGATGTCAGAGGTCACGTGATGCCAGAGGTCACGTGATGTCAGAGGTCACGTGATGCCAGAGGTCACGTGATGTCAGAGGTCACGTGATGCCAGAGGTCATGTGATGTCAGAGGTCATGTGATGCCAGAGGTCATGTGATGTCAGAGGTCATGTGATGTCAGAGGTCATGACCTGCACTTCAGCAACGGTGATCTGCATGATTTCGCTCAGTTCTGGAATAAACCAGAGGTTGTGAGCCGGCCGAAAAAACAATGGTCATTACAAGCGACAACACAACGGGTCTGAGGCAGAAGAATGTGTGTGTGTGTGTGTGTGTGTGTGGGCGGCTCTCGTGACACACTCGACATTGTGTGTGTCAAACAATCAGCCTTCTTCTTTCTCAGCCCGAACACACACTCGCACATGTCGAGCTGAGCGCTTGATAACGAACCCTGAAAGACTGATTTACTAGAGCACACACACACACACACACACACACTTGCTGGAGAGGATGCAGTTATAGTGATAATTCTCCCAAAAACAATCGTTCTCACTCCTCGTGTCATTCAAGCCTTCTGAGGAACATGAAGATATGATGAAGATTATCTGGTAACCTGTTCTATGAAGCCCATGCTAATAATGAATTATATCCCCATTTATACATATTTATAAGTATTACTATTTTATAAATATATTTATAAAGACTCATTAAGACCTAAACCTATGGATTATGAGCATTGAAAACGCAAATGCATGACTTATGAGAATTATAAAAATAATATAAATGTGACTACAACTGTTCTTATAATGCAGTTTAGGTCTTAATGAGTCTTTATAAATATATTTATAAAATAGTAACACTTATAAATGAGTATAAATGGAGCTGAAGCTCAAGTGAGTCACGGCAGCATCACTGTCAGGCCATCAAACACTGAGGTGTGTGTGTGTGTGTGTGTGTGTGTGGAGGAGCGGATGCGCACGGGTTTGGAATGACATGAGAGAGAATAAATGTCATTTTTGGGTGAGAAAGCGAGAGTGTGGGTGTGTGTGTGTGTGTGTGTGTGTTTAAGTACAGTAACAGCAATGTGTGTGTGTGTGTGTGTGTTTAAGTACAGTAACAGCAATGTGTGTGTGTGTGTGCGTGTGTGCGTGTGTGTGCGTGTGAGTGTGTGTGTGTGTGTGCGTGTGAGTGTGTGTATGTGTGTGAGTGTGAGTGTGTGTGTGGCCTGGTAAACCCTACGTTATGGGGACAAAATGTCCCCACAAGGATGGCAATATCCGAAATCCTTGTTCGTGTGGGGACATTTTTTGGTCCCCATGAGGAAATCAGCTTATAAATCATACTAAGTGATGTTGTTTGAAAATGTAAAAATGCAGAATGTTTCCTGTGATGGGCAGGTTTAGGGATAGGGTTAGTGTAAGGGAATAGAATATACAGTCTGTACAGTATAAAAATCATTATGTCTATGGAAAGTCCCCATAAAACATGAAAACACAACATGTGTGTGTGTGTGTGTGTGTTTAAGTACAGTAACAGCAATGTGTGTGTGTGTGTGTGCGTGTGTGTGTGTGTGCGTGTGTGTGTGTGGAGGAGCGGATGCGCACGGGTTTGGAATGACATGAGAGAGAATAAATGTCATTTTTGGGTGAGAAAGCGAGAGTGTGTGTGTGTGTGTTTAAGTACATTAACAGCAATGTGTGTGTGTGTGTGTGTGTGTGTGTGTTTAAGTACAGTAACAGTAATGTGTGTGTGTGTGTGTGTGTGTGTGTGTGTGTGTGTGTGTGTGTGTGTGTTTAAGTACAGTAACAGTAATGTGTGTGTGTGTGTGTGTGTGTGTGTGTGTGTGT